CTGTGAGTCTCTGTTCACTGAGCATATCTCGTGTTTCCTGCTTGTGGGCCTCGGTCCTATAATCGGCAGGGCTTTCCTTCCCTCACCATCCTGGAAGACTTACCTGGCTGCCTGCTCTGCCTAGAACACTGTTCTGTCAGACTGCTGCAGGCTTGCCCACGAGGTCTCAGCTTAGAGGGCACCACTCACAGAGAGGTTCCCGCTAAGCTCCTATATTTAAAGGGCCCCACCCAGGCATCATGCTCTATCCCGGAGCCTGCTTGGTGTCACAGCCACCATATTTAACCATTTCTTGTATATTTGTTGATGGATTTCTTGTCTTCCTCCCTATACTAGACTCCATGAGACCAGGACAGTATCTGTCACCTTTCGAAAAATAGTACCTGACATTCAGTAGATATTTAATAAATGACTGCTAAGTTTTACTAAACGAATACGTGAATGAATCCCTCTAAGTTTTACTAAAAGAATACGTGAATGAATCCCTCAAGCTTGGCAGAGGCCACCTCCACCTCCTCTCCGAAGTTTTGACTTTCCCTGGAAGAACTGGTCTTTCTTTCCTTACCATACTGCCCCATCCTCATGGCATTCACCCGCGTCACCCACCCCTTGAGGGCACGGACTGGATCTTACTCATCTCTGTATCCTCAGCACCTGGCACAATGACTGAGAACACGGGACAGGCACCTACTGAACAACTGCTCACTGAATACACAAAAACTAAGCGGGACTCTTGCTGCCCTTCTCCCAACTTGGCTACTTCCAATTTGGGTCTACTTCTCACCCAACACCCAGAAACCAAAGTTGTAAGATAATCCATCTATAGGCAAATCACCAGACAAAAAATAGTAAAACATAAAGTCTAAAAATTTATTCCTTGAGGCTCACCCTGTAATCCTAGCACTTTGGGAGGCTGAGGGGGGTGAATCACCTGAGGTCAGGAGTTCAAGGCCAGTGTGGCCAACATAGCAAAACCCCGTCTCTACTAAAAATACAAAAATTATCTGGGCATGGTGGTGAGTGCCTGTAATCCCAGCTACTCAGGAGGCTGAGGCAGGAGAATCACCTGAACCCAGGGAGCAGAGGTTGCAGTGAGCTGAGACTGCGCCATTGCACTGCAGTCTGAGCAACAAGAGTGAAACTCCGTCTCAAAAAAATAAATAAATAAAAATAAAAATTAACATATTGAAATGGAGGTGAAAGTGATTTTATGATTCTGGGCTTATCCTGCCTGCCTCACCTCCTCTCTTCCCCACTATATTAAAAATCCTTTCCACTTTACAACAGATCTGGGGGGACTCTCACAACATAAGAGTACAGTTATTAGGCCGGGCGCGGTGGCTCAAGCCTGTAATCCCAGCACTTTGGGAGGCCGAGGTGGGTGGATCACGAGGTCAAGAGATCAAGACCATCCTGGTCAACATGGTGAAACCCCG